AGATGATCACCTTCTGGTCAAGGAATTGTATAATCTACACGTCTTACTCCTTTTCTCATAGCCAATAAAGATACACTTCTCATATTTTTCATCTAACTTTTTTTTCTAATCATGAACATGGAATATGGAGTGCACCAAAAAATCTTGAGATGTCCTACTACGAGCTTACTATTTCTCCATGCTTTATTTGGCATTTTGAATTTTATACTTTTTGTTGGATATCGATTTAGTAAATAAACAACATATAAAACGACTTCGACTCGAAAAGTTTTTGGTAAGTGCTTTCCTTTCACCATGCTCCTCGTCGTATTAAGAAACATGTGATTCTTTCTTTCTACAATGTCATTTTATTGTTATGCATATGAGGTTGTCGACTGATGAATGATTCCATTTTCTTTGCAAAAACCTTCAAACAACTTTAAGGTGTACTCACTTCCTTTATCGGATATAAGTATCTTCATATAATACCTATTTTGTTTTTTTGTCATTGTTTTGAACTCTTTAGATTATTAAGGGCTCCCGATTTTTCTTTAAGAATATACACCCAACCTTTTCTATTGAAATCATCAATAAAAGTAAGATAATACCTTTTTTTTTTCAAGTGATGGTATAACAAATGGATCGATTATATTTGTGTGAACAATCTTTATCGGCCTTCCGGCTCTTTATGATTTTCTAACTTTAAAACTTTGTCTATGTTATTTTCCTTTAATGTAGGCTTCACACAATCGATCTAGGTCGATTAATTTATGGAAGTCCATTCACCATCTTTTCTCTCAATAATAACTTCAAACTAGTAAATCCAAGATGACCAAACCTTAAATATCATGACCATGATTCTTCTTTAATGACGGACTTCATGCACTTTAAGCACTTCGTATGAATATCAATTGTGAAAATATGATTCTTTATCATATCAACTTTAACAATTAATTCTCCACTTTTGTTGATGACAAGAGAATAATCCTTCGAGTGTATGTCACACCCTTTTTCTAGAGTCGGCCAAGGTCGATGATATTTCTTTCCAAAATAGGTATATAATAAATATCATGTATATACTTCTTATCTTTATTCTTTGAGATGATCATAAGTTTACCTTTGCATTTAATCGAATCTTTGATGAGTCATCAAAAGTAACTTCTCCTTGGATAGTCTCGTCTAAATCCGTAAATAACTCTTTTCAGCTTCACATGTAGTTCTTGGTATCGATGTCGAGATACCAAACATTTTTCTTGCACTCTTCATTTCCTCTATATGTTAGGAAAATAGTCAATTCAACTTTTTTATCTTCTACTCGCTACAAAATGATTCATTTTTTTCATCTTTGGAGCTTATTTGCATTCATAACTCGAAATGACCATGCTTGTTATAATTATAACACTATAATTATGATTTATCACCTCGTTGTTAAAATCTAAATCTTGGTTTTTAGATCCTCGATGGATCCTCGACCATGACCATATATTTGATAGCCTTATTTGTTTGGCTTCTTTCGAAGGAGTTTCTACCATATCCTTGTCCACCATGTCCTCCTCGCTAGTCATCTCCGTAGCTACCTCGATTTCCTTTGCCCCATCCATAGCTATTTGCTGACTTGATTTTCATCGATATATAACTTGCTTTACAAAACTTGCTCTACATTACTATTATTTTCATTTTGGTTCATTCTCTACTCGTGTGTTTGAAGAGAACCCAAAAATTTATTAATAGAAATTTATGATAAATCCTTTGATTATTTAATAGTAGCGATGACATAATCAAATTTTCTTGTCAATGAATGTAGGAGTTTTTTCATCACCCCGACATTATCAAAGTTTCTTCATTTCTTTTCATATCGTCCACCATCGTTTTTAGACAAATGATGTAATCATTAATCTTTTTAAAATTTTACAATTTTGATGTCTCAAATTCAGCTCCGAATAATCGAGCCATACCTTTTAGCCTTTTCGACTCCTTGAAGACATTTTTACAAAATCTCTCATGCCTTCTTTGATGTTTGAGCGTTTGATATTTTCTCAAAGGTTGATTCATCAACTCCTTGAAAATTAAAAACAAGGCCTTTTTTCCCTTTTTGTGTGATTTTTTAAGCGTTGTCTTCTACACATTTGTCAATGATGCTTTGGTAGTAGCATCTTCGGGTTCGATATAGCCTTCTTCAACAATCTCCTATAAATCTTGAGAACCGAGTAAAACTTTCATCCGAATGCTCTAGTTTTCATAATTTGTCTTTATTTATTTTTAGGATCCAAGGCTGAATCATATGGGTCATCTCCTCACTTGAAATATAAACACGAACTTGGGTTTGATACCACTTAATGGAAGCATAATAGGCTCACAAAATAAAATTCAAAAAATAATATATTGATACACACACACACACACACACACACACACACACATTGATTACAAGATAAACCCATACAAAATATCTTCTCTCATAATATACTTGATTTTATTTCTTCTTTTCCTAGCTGCTGCTAGTGCTCTCTGCTTCTGTATTTTCATATATCTATTACAAACAAGACTTGGTTCTTTTTATAGGCAAGCTAACCATTTGATTTGGGATAACTATGATTAATTGGTAGCCAAAAATATCTCTCATCTCATTGCCTTTGACCCTTCAAATTACAACCCATGTACAATTAACTTATTAACATAATTAAGAAATTAACCAAGTCAATTTCTTAACATGGTTTTTTTTATCTAGAAGTTCCTATATTAACCCACACGATTTTATCTTTCTTAATTGTGAGGGTTTGACTTCTAACAATTATGACGGTTTACCATGGCTTCTTTCCTCTTTTTTTTTTTTTTTTGCTCACTCGTAGGGTTCGGACCTTTATAAAAAGGAAGGAGTCATAATTGAAGATACCATTATTTTTGGCATAGAAGTTTCTATAAAAATGAGAAATGCCTTACCTTTGCGTGCAATTTGAACTATTAATTTATGCAATTGGAAGTAACTAATTATTTTTATGATGAAACTTAAAAAATCAATCACGGATCTAATTTGAGTTGTTCTATAGGATAGACCTCAATAGAAAATTGAAGAGAACAATAAGTGATTAAGTTCGGTAGTTAATACTATAAGTGAACTAGTATTGATCTCATAGCTTTCCTTAACATAAAAAAGTAAGGAAAAAAAATAGATGTTACTCTCATGCTCTCAATTTTAATTCAAGCATGGGTTTGATTAACACTCCATGTTCGAGAAATATTTACCATCCAAAAAAAGAAAAAAAATTGTCTTTATCTAAAAAATACTACAATAAATCATCCTCAAAACTAAGACTCAATTCCAAATCCAAATCCAAATAATATAAAACAAAGATGAAAATAGTAGTTTAAATATCTACATCTATGTCTCGTAATGACATCAAACGACAACAATTAATGATGTTTTTAATGATAGTTTTAAAAAGTTAAATCACATATTAAGATTTTAGGCACAAATGCCTAACTTGAACCTTCTATATGAATTTGTGAATTTTATCTTGAAGCTTTCATAAGTATTTGTGAATTTTATCTTGGTTGAAGTTTTGTAGACGACGAGGTATTGTTAGATAATTTTTATTTCTTTATTCTGAATTTATCACATGTGGTTTTTGGCATTGGTTCGATGGCTTTTAATTAATGGATTTTACTTTTATGTTTCTACTTTATGTTTATTGCCAGTGACAAGGTATAGCAGTGTTTAATTTGAGAACTGATGTTGGTTAAATAATGTAAAAGAATGATGAGGTTATGGTTTTGACATAAATTGTAACTTTCTCTTATAATTTTGATTTTGAAAATTCTTTTAATTTATGTAGTTTGGACATTGGAATTGAAAGTCTCAGAATTTATTTTTAGATGAGGTTTTGATTTAAAATATATTAGAAAATAGGTGTTTTGCTTTATATAGGAATTAGGTTATTGGGTTATGGTGATTGAAGGTGGTCCTGGTGGAGAGAAAAGGAGGAAGGGGAAGAAGAAGAAGAAGAAAAGAACAGAAATAAAAATGGCTATACATATTTTTTATGTATTGATGCGTTTTAATAAAACGGTGAAGGTTATTGGCACTGTAATTTTTGGTTAAATAAAGATTCAATCAAAAAGATTTTTCTTTTTCCAAAAACAAAAAGAATACGAAGAAGAATAAAAATAAAAAGAGAAAATTAGTATAAAATAAAAAATAAAAAGGCTCACACAAGCTTTTAATCGTATCTCTAGCGTTACCACTCGATAAAATAAGAGAGCAGCTCTGCAGCTGTGAAAAAGAAAAGAAAAGATAAAAAACGAGACGTAGAAAAAAAGAAGAAGGGGCACATAGTATATGAGTTACAGTGAACGCGTTGAAGAATAATGACGACATGCTTTTGGTCGGCTTAGATTGGTCCAAACCAACCACAGCGACCTTAAATCATCATCACCATTACTCCTTTTCGCTTTCTTCCCTTTCTCTCAAAAATATACCCTTACTTCTTGTATTCCTGCAAGACTGGAGCTTTTTAACTCTCTGTTTGTAACTTTGTTAAGGTACTTTCTATATATTTATTCATTATTTCTTTTCTCCAAAAATCTGGAAATTGTGTTGATTGATTTCAAAAACTTTTGTTTTGAGGATTAGGAAAGCATCTTTTTGTCTTCACTGTTTTAATCTTATGCAGTACAGCTTTGATAATTTTTTTAAGCTGTCATCTTTTTTCGTGTGTGTTTTCTTGATTGTTCACTTTTTTCAATCACCATTTATAGCGCAAAGATTATTCTTTTTCCCCCTCTTATATGTGTACTTCTGGTGGTATTAGGGTATAAAAATCTGGACTTCTGTACATATTGACCGCTATCACTTTCCGGGCAGCTGTTTTTCTTCTTCTTCTTCTTCTTCTGGAGAACTTTGAGTATAAACTGAAGTCATGTATTTTGGCCTTTTGGTACTTGGTATTATTATTACTGAAGGCCGAAACATCTAGGTTTTCGAGTGTGTTGGAAGTTGGGAAATTTTTTAGGTATTGATGATCATGGATCAACGCTTAGCAAGTTTATATGGTTCTGTAAATGGATTGAAACTTAGCAATGAAAACCAATCTGTTTTATTGGATCAGAATCTTGTTAATGTGTTCAAGTCGGAAAACAATCGTGTAAACCAAAACTATGTAAATAGTCCTCCTCTGCTGCCTGATTCAACACTAAGTAATTCAGCCGTGTCTCCAAGCATGAGTCAAGAGGGAGATTCTCATGAAGATTTTGATTTCAGTGATGTGGTTCTGAAATATATTAGCGAGATGCTTATGGAAGAGGAAATGGAAGAGAAGACATGTATGTTTCAAGAATCTTCAGCAGCACTTCTTGCTGCGGAGAAATCGTTGTATGAGCTTATTGGGGAGAAGTATCCTTCTTCACCCAACGACCCAGTGCTATGTTTTGATCGAAGGCGTGAAAGCCCAGATGAAAATCGTGAATTGAGTAGCAGTAATTGTACAAGCGGTACAAGCAGCTGTAGTGGCGGAAACTTGGTTGATCATGGGTGGACTTGTGATCTTGGCGAGTACAAGTTCTCAAGATGTGCTTCTCAGTCTGCTTCCCAGTCATCCTATAGTTCAGGGAACAGCAGTGTTACTGTTGATGGATTTGTTGATTCTCCAGTTGGTCCTAATATGGTTGCTGAGATAATTAGGGAGAGTGAGTCTGTTATGCAGTTTAAGAAAGGGTTTGAGGAGGCGAGTAAGTTCATTCCAAACGGCAATCTGTTTATTGATTTGGAGAGTAGTGGTCTGTTTCTAAAAGACCTGAAGGAAGATGCCAAGGATGTGTTAGCTATGGCAGAGGAGAAGCGGGAGAATGAGAACTCCACAGATGGTTTGAGGAGAAAGAAGAATCCCCATCCTGATGAGTTGGCTCTAGAGGGAGGTAGGAGTAACAAGCAGTCTGCAGTTTATTCTGAATCAACCGCAAGTCCAGAAGATTTTGATATGGTATTGCTCAACTGTGGAAGAGATGAATCTGCCATTCGAGCAGCCTTGCATAACAGGGAAAGCAAGGTTGTGCCGCAGAATGGACAAGCAAAAGGTTCGAATGGTGGAAAAGCTCGAGGTAAGAGGCAGGGAGGTAAAAGGAATGTCGTAGATTTGAGAACGCTTTTGACCCTTTGTGCACAGGCTGTTGCTGCAGATGACCGGAGGAGTGCAAATGACCTGCTGAAGCAAATCAGACAGAATGCTCCACCAACAGGGGATGCGATGCAGAGACTAGCCAACGTTTTTGCTGATGGCCTCGAAGCGCGTTTAGCTGGCTCAGGAACCCAGATTTACAAAGCACTTATTTCCAAGCCAACATCAGCTGCTGATGTTTTGAAAGCTTACCATATGTTTCTTGCTGCTTGTCCTTTTAGGAAACTGTCTAATTTCTTCTCAAATAAAACAACTATGAATATAGCTGAAAATGCAACAAGGGTTCACATTGTTGATTTCGGCATCATGTATGGTTTCCAATGGCCCTGCCTTATTCAGCGTCTCTCATCCAGACCTGGAGGACCTCCCAAGCTGCGGATAACTGGGATTGATCTCCCAAATCCAGGTTTCCGACCAGCAGAAAGGGTGGAGGAGACAGGACGCCGCTTAGCAAATTATGCAAACACTTTCAAGGTTCCATTCGAGTTCACTGCTATAGCACAAAAGTGGGACACCATACAAATTGAGGACCTTAAGATTGATAGCAACGAGGTGCTTGTCGTTAACTCTCTGTTTAGATTAAGAAACTTGCTTGATGAGACTGTGGTGGTGGAGAGTCCTAGAAATACTGTTCTCAATTTGATCAGGAAAATGAATCCAGATGTTTTCATACAAGGAGTTGTGAATGGAGCCTACAGTGCTCCATTCTTTATCACACGCTTCCGAGAGGCTCTCTTCCACTACTCTACTTTGTTTGATGTGCTGGAGGCTAATGTGCCTCGTGAGGTTCCAGAGAGGTTGCTTATTGAGAGAGATATTTTTGGGTGGGAGGCAATGAATGTCATTGCATGTGAGGGTGCAGAGAGGATAGAGAGGCCAGAGACATACAAGCAGTGGCAAATGCGGATTCTAAGGGCTGGGTTCAGGCAGCTGCCATTGAATCGGGAGATTTTTATGACAGCAAAGGAGAGGGTGCAAACTCTCTATCACAAGGATTTTGTAATCGATGAAGATAGCCAGTGGTTGCTCCAGGGGTGGAAGGGTCGGATTGTTTATGCGCTCTCTTCTTGGAAGCCTGATTTTTAAATGTGCTTTGAGTTTTACTCGTGGATAGGAAGGGGGACAGGATTCTCTCCATGTAGCTGACATAGGGCCATTGTGCTTTATCAACTTTGTTAGTTCAAGGTACTGACATTTTCCCATTGAAATCAAAATCTCATTGTTCTTTTGCCTTGCCATTAGTTACTCTGGAATGGAAGTGAACTTGAAAAGAAATTGATGATGATTTACATATTTGCTGAGCAGGGATAGTGGGAGTAGAGTTTTGGCTGCTGCTCAATACAATTCTATTAGATGCCCATTGTTCAGGTAGCAGTAATATTCATCAATTTACAAGGTAAAATTTAAACCATATATTGCATGATGCCTGACATGTCTCGTTACAGGTGAGAATGGCCTATATCTTGGTGAATATGTACAGAAAGGGCAAAACATACTTAAAAGAAAACCACCTGAGCTCTAGTTAGGTGTCATAATTAAATGAAACATATCTGTAAGCAGCGATGATGTTACAGTTAGTGCTAGTGGTTAGTAGAAATTATGATGATTTTTATGAATCTCTGCAATCGAAGAAGATAATGTTTGTGCTTCATTGCCCAGGTTCTTCTTGTACTTGGACAGTTTTTTGTGCAAGCAGCAATCTTGGTTCTGGAGTTGTAAGGGGTCCCTGTGCGCATTGTTCTCTTTAAGTGTGGCATTTCCGCACTACTAAATTTATTAATGAAATTGCTAAAAGAATACTCATGTTCTTTAAGATGTTGCATAGCAGTTTCGCCTATCATTTCTTACCGGAAATGCATGCTGACTCATCCGATCAGATCCATATTAGCTTAGTTCAGCAAAAGTGTTGTGAAATTGCTCCTATTAACTCATGCCTTCGTACTTCCCAGATATTTGAGCATATGTTTTATAAAGTTCTACAGCAAAAAATCAGCAACAAAGTTAAAAAATGCGTGCGTCGTTGTCTATTGCTTAGCAGTTGTTTTCTGTTTAGTTGAATCAGTACACATTCATCAGTTGAGCCAATCAAATGTTACCATGAACTACAGCATATTTGCATTCAAGTTGTTCCATTTTTTCAAGGTAATCATAGTTCTTTTATGCATTCATGGTGTGAAGAGGTGTAGCGTCGAAGTGAAGCACCCACCCTGTTGTTTATTGCAATTCACAAGTGAAAACCACTTGATTTTCAGGGAAGTTCTCGTGAATTTAATGTGGAGAGATAATCCAATTGAAAAAACAAAACGAAAGAAGTTAACCTCCACCCAATGGATAAAAGGTCAACTGTTAACGTGAATTTCTTATTCTGATTATCCTAATATTTTCTACAGATAAACTTTAGTTTGGGAAGTCTCATAATCTCATTCGCAATTTTTGGAAGTTTTGACTTTATACGAAATATTTAAACATGCACATGTTAACAAGGGCCTCTGCAGGAAACCCAGCATGATTGATCAATCCATACATTACATGTAATTGATTTGACAAAGGGAATCATAGCATGTATTTGCTCAATTTTGGGTTTTTCTTGATGTCATGCATTACGGCAATCTCTGACATGCTCTGTGATAAAAACAATTGTTTATGGTGCTAGCTAGATTCAGTCCACCAAGAGGCAAAGGAAAACCCTTGCACTTTGACATGAAGAGTGGAAGTATAATGATAATTAAATTTCTGATTGCTGCCAAGCAAAGAGTGGTGGTGGTGGTGGTGGTGGTTTGATTTCCTCTTTTAAGTTCATAAATTATCATTGCTGAGCATCATTGTTAGGTCATTTGCTCTTCTTCTCGACCTCTTATTAGTAATAGTACGTATATTTTTATACACCAGCAAAGAACTGCTGTGCTCCAACTGTTATTTTACTTGATGTCATGCATTACGAACATGCAAAATATGATGTAATCGTACTATGATCAGACAAATGCTGCAGGCTGCAGCCTACCAAAATGTCTAGTGGTACATCTTGGTGGAAAACTCAATTATTGGGTGTATAGAGGCAAGGAGGGGATGATTGCTGAATACTTGCAATTCAGTGTATTAACTTTTAGTATTCAGTATATACATTTGCAGTATTCAACTACGGAAAGTTTGGTTATAGCAAACAATATTACTCTATTTTCTCCTAGTTGTCACTTGGCAATCTCCCAATGATGTAGTAAAATAAGGTTAAAACTCGGCAAAAAAAATGATAATGTTGCTACGATACTCGGGTTATAGATTAAGAAGATATCTAGGTTTTCCTCCTGTACGGATTTTACAGTGATCTTTTCTTGTGATATGGGTCCGTTGTGTTCGTTGTCCACTCCCAACCAATCAAACATTTAGGGGAAGAACTATGGGCTCAGGGTTGAAAAATGTTGAAATTCCAAGCCGCTATAAGTTTAGGTTCAAGTTTTATCATTTGGAATTGATTAATGCCTCTCTACGTCCATATAATTTTCCCTTTTTGTTTAAGAGGTTTTGTTATTTTTTGTTTTAATGTCATTCGTATACATTACATTTTCATGGTTATACCAAGTTGTCAATTGATTTTACTAACGCTGTTAACATCTGACAAACAGCAGCATGACATTTCTTGCTAAGGAACATTTTGGTCCCTAAAAGTTTTTGAAAAAATTTACTTTAGTCCCTTTGTTTTCCCTTCCGTACAAATAAGTTATTGATTACAAGTTTTTTGGTCATTATAGTTTATAGAAAATACAATTTAGTCTATAAATGAATTTTTTTCAATTAAATCCCTATATGTCAAATCGTAAACTTGATCAAAATTCTCATGATAGATATATTATATTATAGAAAACAAAAATTTAACAAAATCATAATAAGATTAACTGCAATAGTTAAAAAATAATCACATATGTTCAACCCATCTAATCAAACAAAAGTTATTATTTTGAGATAAATTGTATTTGTTGATTTTTTGGACATATGTCAGCATGTTGTGATTTTGTTGTGTGATGATGGATTAATTGACTTATGTTATGGTTTAAAAGAGTTAATTTGATATATTTGGTTTTCTGTGAATTTTTTTTAGTGTTTGGTTTTGTAAGTATTGAATTATTATTTTTAGGTTATTAAAAAATACAATGAGAAAAAAAATTCAAAATTAAGATAAAAGAACTTCATATATCTAAGATAATATGATAATTTTGACCAAGAGTAGTATTTGACATGTAGGGATTTAATTGAAAAAAAACTTCCAGCGAGTGAATTGTATTTACTATTATGATGACAAAAAACCTTTCAATTAAGGATTTATTTCTAAGAAAAACAATATAAAAAACCAAATTAAATTTTTCAAAAATTTAGGGACCAAAACATACACCATTGAAATATTTCACGCTGCCGCACATCAAATTTTAATGGCGTTAGTAATCCAAATTGATAGACTGATATAATAATGATAAAAATGTAGCATGTATTGATAAATATTAAGACAAAAAGAAATAAAAAAATATTTCAACAATAAAAGAATGAATACAAGAATACGAGGAAGCATTAACCCATTTTGAAATGGAGAAAATAGTTTTGCAGGATTTCTTTTAATTAAGATTCATTGTATCTTGTTCTTTTTCCTTCTTATAATTCATTTTAGTGTTTTTTTTTCCTTCATGCACTTGAATGTAACACGAGACGAAGGTTGTTGCAATATAGAATAAAAACTAGTCCAACCTTGCGCAGGGCCCTCAGGTGCAGGCAATGCGCGAGCGCCTGCTAGCCCGCTGGCACTCCAGGTGCACGCAACGCCTGCAAGCCAGCAGGCCCTCCAGGCGTAGAAGTTCTACTTGAGGGCTTTTTTTTCAAAAAAAAAAAACTATTGATTACCTCTAATCTCCTCATAATTTTATACTAATTAAAAAATATATATTTATGTTTTCAAAGGGAATTTTTGTTTTGTGTTAGAAATTTAATCTTTTAATAACGGTGATTTTTAAACTATTGTATATTTTCGGAAAATGTCAAGCCATAGAGATAGAGGCGGCTCTCATCACTCTACGGACTCGCACCAATACATCTGAATTCCACTCCATCTACTCCAGTTACCGAATCAATTTCATTTGCACAACCTAATGTGGGTGAACTTCAAAGTGATTCAAATCTTCCTTCTAAAAGGCGATATGGTTCTGTCCGGAATCATTTTACAAGGAAAACCGTGAATGGTGAAGAAAAGGCGGAATGTAATTATTGCAAGAAGCAACTTGGAGGGAAGTCAAAGAATGGTACCAAACATTTGCATGATTGCTTCAACGGATGCCCAAGAAGGACAATTGCAAATATAAGACGGAAGGTTTTAACTTCTAATTTAATTGGTGATGTAATTTCTAATTCTTTTGATCAATAGACGGGAAGAAAGGATCTTGTTTCTATGATCATAATGCATGAATACCCGCTCTCTATGATTGATTATATCGACTTCGGGAAGTTTATAAGTACTCTTCAACCATTGTTCAAATGTCCAAGTAGAAATACGGTAAAACATGATGCCTTCAAGATATATGACAACGAGAGAGCCAAAATGAGGAGAGTTTTCGAAAAACTCAAAAGTAAAATTGTCATCACTACCGATTTGTGGACATCAAACAATCAAAAAAAGGATTCATGGCAATTACAGACTCACTATATTGATGGTTCTTGGATGTTACGAAGTCTGTTTATTGAGGTATTTTTCATTTATTATTAACTTAATGATGCTTGTTTAATTGTTTTTGTTGAATATTATTAGTTTATAACTAATTTATATTTTGCTTTAGGTTTATGTATGTTCCTTGTCCATATACAAGCATTGTCCTTGCAATCGCTTTAATTGATTGTTTGATGGATTAGAATGTTGATGAAAAATTATCAACTATTACGTTGGATAATTGTTCCACAAATGATTCTATGATTGAGCATGTGAGGGATAAGTTAAAATCTGTAGATTTGTTGAATTTCGATTCTTTATTGCATATGCGATGTTGTGCTTATATCATCAACTTAATAGTGAAAGATGGGTTGGATGTCATTAAGGAAGGGGTTGAACGAATTAGAGATAGTGTAGCCTTTTGGACGACGAACTCCTAAAAGAGTTAAGAAGTTTGAGGATGCTCGCTAACTTCCTTCTCATTCCTATCACGAAGAAATTGGTTTTAGATTGTCCAACTAGATGGAATTTTACTTATTTGATGCTTGAAATTGCTTTGTTATATAAGGATTGTTTTTCTAGGTTGAAGCGTCGTGAACCTCATTATAAAGTTGCACTTACCGATAGTGATTGGGAATTTGCAAAGGAAATGTGTAGGAGATTAAAGATCTTTTAATGTATTACCGAATTATTTTCGAGAACTAAATATCCCACACCTAATTTTTTTTTCACTAAAATTTATGAAATTAAGATTGCATTGACTCAATGGCTCACTTGTCCTAATTAAATGGTTAGTGAAATAACGGAAAGTATGTTAGTTAAGTTCAATAATTATTGAAGTGTGATTCATGAAATATTGGGAGTAGCTACGAGTTTTAGATCCTAGGTACGGAATGGATTCACTAGAGTTCTATTTTGAGAAAATTTATAGGAGTGAGGCTATGGCTCAAGTTAAGAATATAAGGAAGCTTTGTTATAGTTTGGTAGCTGAGTACCAAAAAAATATGAAGGTGGATGGAGGATGTGGTAGCTTTATTTTGGATGATTCTTCAACAATTTTGGAGGATGTGGAATCCGAGTTTGACTTGTATGTTTCAAGGAAAAAGGCTAAGGTTACTCTTGTCAAGACAGAACTAGATTACTACTTAGATGAGGTTATTCCAAGAAACAAAAATTTTGATATTCTAATATAGTGGAAAGTAAATGAGATGAAGTACCCTACTTTGATGGCAATTGTTAAGGATGTGTTGGCAATTTATGTGTTAATCGTTGCTTCGGAATCGGCTTTTAGTGCTTGCTAGTAGGCTAGTAAGCCCACATCGAAGTAGACTTCATCCAAAAACGGTGGAAGCATTAATGTGTGCTCAAAATTAGTTGTGGGCAACTGAAAATAAAGGTAATATACTAATTACTAAAACTCTTTTTTAGTATTAATTTCTTATAATTTTTACATATGTTGTTTATATTTATTATATTTGTTTCAAGGTGAAACTCCATTTGTTTCAAATGGTTATTGTACTATATATGAGGATCATTCGGAAGAAGATGAAGGTATAAAATAATATGTCAAAGTTTAAATGATAGCATGAAAAAATTTTATGACGACTAATTCACTTTTAATTTAATGAATGTAGGATCTGCAGTAATCGACGATTATGTCGAAGTGCAATATGATGATTGAGCTTTGATGATCCGTGAGTAGTAAAGACATGTAAGGATTTATTTTTTTAATTGTATTTGTGATATTAACGAGTTGTGATTTTATTGTTTTAATTTAATATGTTATTTATTCGATTAAAAAGAATTTAATATATTATGAATTATGTAATAAACTTGTAATTGAATATAATGCTAAATGATTATGTTTTTTAATTTGTATTTTTTATATGAGTTATAATTTTTTTGTTATAGTTTTAAATTTTATAATAGAATGGGCAGGGCGAGGCAGGGCAGGGAATTAAACGGGGCACAACAAGGGCGAAACGAAACAGATACAAAATGTTCAACAGAGTCTCGATTTTCCACGGGGATCCTCGTCCCTGTTTGGGGGCGGGGATGATATGTGAAGTAGCACTCCAAACGGGGTATGGGCGGGGATGGGGCAACAATTCCCTATCCAAGTCACATGCTACCATGAAACTGTTCTTTTCATCTTCTTAAGCGTACCAAATTACTTTGACTTCAGTCATGTCAATCATTTGAACCCTAATGTTTAACCTTTTTCTTTATCCTTAACGAAATCTGAATTTACCAAACTGAACATGTTAGAAGGCATAGTTGTCAATATATTATGTCTGGTGTGTACCATTCAAATGGCAAAAAAATAAAATAAAAATATTTATACCATTCGACTTAAAATCGATTGAAAAAGTTCTACTATCTGGTTTTTTTACGTTTTTTTGTTATCACAATATTTCACTAGTACACAGCAGACAAATCTTTTTTTAAATTTTATTTACAACGTACGATATTATTAAATTAATGAATATTTGGACATATGTGTGCGTTTGCGTGAGAAAGAGAGAGAGTGTAAACACGTTGATTTATTATTTTACGAATATCCATGACCCTTAAACAAAATATGGGTGGGCTGGGAGCCCAATATTGCAGGATGCTACCCCGTTTAGGACAATTGGTTCTGTTCACGAGCCCACATAATGGCCCAGGGGATTTGTCCATTGTATATTTTTATATTTCTTTCTGAATTTAAAAATTTACTTCAATTAATTTTTAATTATTCATAGGAGTAATAATTGACAAAACCCTTGTCTGCCTCCAAAAAACAAAGCAGGGTTTTGGAGAGAAATGAGTGGGGCAGGAACACCAGATTTCTTCTACAGAGAAGCTCAACGGCTTGGCTATGTAGCTCGCTCTGCTTTCAAGGTTTAACCCTTCTTACCAAACTTAACACTCCATTCATTTCTTTCATGTCTAACTTTTCTCTACTAATTAATTCACTTGCACACATTTTCTTGCTTCTTGTTGAAAAAAAAAGCTTCTTCAGATACAAAAACAACACAAGTTAATAACCCCTGGCTCCTCTGTTCTTGACCTTGGCTGTGCTCCTGGTGCTTGGCTCCAGGTCTTGTCTCTTTCTTTCTAGTGTATTTCAATGTTTCTTTTGTGGGTTTTGGACAACATCTCTGTTATGGTTCGTTTTAAGGGTGCTCTTGGTGTTTTCTATATGACTTAATAATATTATTGCAGGTTGCTTGCCAGAGCTTGGGTCCAGTAAAGAGTGGTGGGGCTGTTGTGGGTATTGATCTCAAGGTATGTTTTTCACTTGCTTTTGGTATTTCAGGTTTTGATTTTGGTCATTGTGTTGTAGGTTTTATTTTTTGGATTCAAAGAGGTTAAAGTTGAGCTGCATTGTTAAGTGGATTATACTACTACGTTTGATTAATTTTAATGTGTGAAATGTGGGGATATGCAGAACAGAAGGTGAAAGTCCCTCCTCTTTACTGTGATGCAAGGGTTCAAACTGTTTGTGCTGATGTTATGAAACTCCCCAAAAACCAAGTTCGGGCACTCTCTCCTCAGGTACTACTTTAATTTTGTACATTAATTTTCGCATCTTTGACAAGGAATTTTCTTTTCCTCTAATATGAATTGCTACTGCCTTTTTATTAATTAATTTGTAGAGTGGTTATCTGGTTTGCTCTAGATTAACTAGGATTTAGTTTTGGAATCACTTACAAAATAGATGCAAAGAGCTGCTCATTTTGTGTTTGTATGTATGATCATCTTGAGGTTGGTGATTTGAAAATGTCAAAGGAAATTAACTTTCATTAAGCTCCGGTGAACCCTTGGGGTAAAACGTTAAAAGGAAATTAATTTTCATTAAGCTCTAGTGAACCCTTAATGACTCTTAAGGCTTACCATCGCACCCAGAACTGGCCACTCTGCTAATTGATACACAAGGTCCTAACCTTCTAAAAGGTTGAAGGTTCCACAAGGTCCTCACCTTCTTTTGATTCTAAAAGTTATGATCTGATTAACATCATTTTTATGAGCCATTTTTCTCTCATTCATCAACAAATTGAATTTTCCTGAGTTTCAACTTGATGGTTTACCTTGCTTTCTTGAAAGCAAAACTTTTCTCCATGGATCTTTTCATCTCTCTTTGCGGATTTACTGATTTGGTTGATTTATGTGTTCTGCAGCACAAGGGGTTTTCTGTGGTCCTCTCAGATATGTGTCCCTTGGTTTCTGGTATCACAACTAGAGATGCAGCTTTATCTGCAGAATTGGGAATGCAAGCACTTGGTCTGGCTGTTGGTCGAGCAGCAACAGCCCATCTTGATAATGATATTATAGCAGGCAGATCGTTAAACGATTCTGTGTGTTCTGCGGACGATAATGGCATATTGCAACCAGGTGGACACCTAGTAATTAAGGTCCTAGAGAGTGAGGATAACCAAGGTGGGAATATGTTGATGGTGCGATCAGATCCAGTAGATGTGGGAACAGCATTTTTCTTACTTCTATTTCACTGTTTGCCTTGCAGAATTTAGCCGGATTTGCAAGCCACTCTTCAGAAAGGCATCATGGTTGAGGCCCAAGGCTACGAGGTCCTCATCAAGAGAGATTTATTTGATCTGTCAAGGCCTACGGTCTTAGGCCCACTTTTTCTTGTTGGGCGATTGGTTTCCTGTTTCCTGAGTATATCTCTGATGTGCATATATCTCTGAGCCTTGTATGAAAATTTCCAAGTTTGTATTGTATTGTTTTGGATATCAATCCCAGCCTACCTATTCTTTCTTTTTACCCGCAGAACTTGAATAAGGTTCATGTTCTCACAAAGATCAAGTGTGATAATTTGAATAAGGTTCATGATCTCATTTTGCATGAATAACAGTACTTCATTTATGCTATTAAGTTCGATGCAACCAATTTCAATCACTTAAAATGAGAGACCATAGGAAGAAAAAAACCATAAAATCCAGACTTGTAAGAATAGTATACTTTATATATGATCCAATTTCCTTTTCTCAATGACTTCACAATTTTACTCCGACCGTAACTGCAATCTATGTACGTGTAATGTATATAAAAAACAAGGACACTTTACACAATCCTGTTCAAACTCTACAGTATAATTTAGCGAACTAATTCAATAGTTCACACTTGGGTAGAAAAAGAAATGACATCAAACTCCTTCCTGTACCTTGTAGTGGCAACCCCTCTGGAATTTTAGTATATGAATTTACAAATATAAATCAGCTTCAGATTTCGCGTGGTGTGTAGTCACCGAATCTGGGTTCGTCCCAATGACCAAAGTCCTGTATCTTTCACTGGTGTCTGAAACCACAGGAGGTAAAAAAGGAAAAGTTTAATACAGGGAGGGGGGCAAGCTGAGTTTACAATAACCTGTAAAATGGATTGTGCTACCACGCTTGCTTACCTGCGTTTTCATAGATGGGAAGACATTCCAAAATCGCAAAGTCTCATCCCCTGCTCCAGTCACTATTGTCTAAATGATGAACATCCAATTTTAGACATTAAAAATTTGTTCATGACCATTTTCTTCTTCTATTCGTCGCATGTGCAAAAATTGCGATTGCTAGTGTTCACATGAATAAAGAAACGGAAGGGAAATATACTTTTGCAAGTAATACTTGGAAATGGAGGAGATTGCAATACCTGACCATCAGGAGACATGGCAAGATAGAGTACTCGCATACTGTGACCAACTAGAGTTGCAACCTATCACAAACGAAAACAAGAAGGATTTTTTTAATCGAATGTTTCTCGCAAATCTTGAACAATGGATTCTTTTTGCAGGATGTTTTCTTGCAAATCTTCTACTAGCGCATTCAGCTACGAGATAAGAGTTTTAGCTAATATACCTTGGTTAATGATGGATATTTCCACACCATAATTTGATTCTGGGAGTACCCATGAGTGCTGACCAGCTCATTAACGTTCTTGCTCCAAGCTAGATTGCACACCTGCAGTCAGCCAGTGAAAATTCAGTAAGCAGAGGGTCTCTAATAGACTGCAAATTAGTTCTATGAAGTTCCATAATCTAGTGAAAATGAAGCAAGAATTTAAAGGAGTAAAAACCTGGCTTCCTGTGTCAACATGGTTTAATTGATGACCATTGGTCGTGTTCCAAAAGCGAATACATCTATCAGCAGTTCCACCTCCAGATGCAAGAAGACCACTCTGGTGGGGTGACCAAGCAATGGCCTTGACAGCAGCTGTGTGTTCAATCAGTTTCAAAATTGGTAGCTGGGAGTGCTGGTTCCATACCAAGAGCTGATCACCAAGAGGACATTGACTTGATGAGATACACATTAATGCAAGCTGAATATTTATTAGGTAACGAAAAAAGGGAAACGAACATCTAATATGAGCAAGAGAAATGTAGTAATGTTTACCTGATTATCATTTCCACCTGATGCAAGTTCTCTGTCATCATATGACCATTTCAAGCCACATACCTGTAAAAGTGATTAGAAGGGCTTACTTCCATTTGTTCCATGAAACACAAAAATAGAATTTCACAACTAATTTCTAGTCCATATAATCCATTAGGGGGAATGAAGGTCAGGAATTGTTGAACTGAGCCATTCTCTGCAAGGGGGTTCCTCTCTTAAGACTTTACCTCAGATTTGTGACCAATAAGTTTGCTAACATAGTCGCTGGAAACGCGAAGATCATGCTGGAGTATATTCCGGTCCCTGCTTCCTGATGCTAGTGTCCTCGAGTTCCAAGCCAAGACACCTGTTCTTGTTTGATGCCCGCTCATGGTTCGGACCCTCTTGCACTGTGTTCCATCCCACACCTATAACAAATATTGACAATAGGCCATGAAACAAAATGCTAAAATCACCCATCTAATGCAAGGTTTGGGTGTAAATTAGACCAATAAAACTACCTGAACTTGACCAAGATGTGTACCAACTGATATGTATGAGCCCTCCCGGGTCCATTGCACAGAGCATACACTGTCATTAGGCCCTAAATCACACAATCTGGTCACCTGAGAACAAGATTACAAAACAGGTCAAAGCAGCTAAATAGCAAATTAGCATCCAAAGAAATTACTCAAAACTATTTTGCATTGGACTGAACAATTTTTGGGTTTGTTCAACATGCTAAGAACCTGGCAATGTCAAACTTACTTTACTATTTGATGCAGTCCATAAATAGACACAAGTTCCCAGCCCAACGGCGAGTACATCCTGTGAGGACCAATCTACAAGATTCAAATAAAAGTCATCTTGAAGTGATGGGGCATCCAAAACCTGCAGCAAAATTAACCTTCAATAATTTACCATTCTTTGGACTGAATCTTCAATATTTTCTATCGAAACCAATTAAAACAAAAGGGATGCAAAACAGTTTTCTTTAACCACAATTTTCTAAACAACCAAACGAAAACTGGAAAAAAAAAACTCAGTACTTACCTTGTGGGGTGTCTTGGGGATTTTCCTTGGTGGTTTAGGAGGAGTAGAAGACTCGTTAGAAATCCCACTCTCGTGTCCAAAGATTGAAGGAGAATAGGGCGAGTTAGGCCCTGAATGATCAGTCTTGAACCTCAACATATTCTTGCTAGGACTGCTCAAACCTCCTTGACCACCTGCAGGAGAAGAAAAAGAACCAAAATCAGACCCAAAAAGCTCAGATTTCAACAACCTCGCATATGCCTCATTGCTTCCTTCTTTAACAGGAGATCCTTTCTCTATAAGTCCAAAAGTGTGTAGCCTTGAAGATGATCTGCATGGTATGAATCTATCACTACAAGAAGAGGTTTTTGAGGGTGAAGATAAACTTGATATTGCTCTTGGTGATGATACGCATGTTACTGCTCTAAAAGAACTTGAAGAAGAAAAGGTCTCTAGTCTTAAAGAAGTCTCATTCATCCCAGATGGGAGGTTGAGGCCACTCTTTCTTCTTGGTGTTGAATCCATATTTGTTTGATGTTTTTGATTAATTTTGAGCTATGGGATTCTTTCTCTTTTAATTATGTGGATCAGCAGTGAAGATTATTGAAAAGGCCTCTCTGTGGAAAGAAAGAGAGGGCTTTTCAATGGAGGGTTTTTGTTTCAGGGTTCTTTTGTGTGGAAGAAGATTTGCAACGGTCGACTTTTGGGTAGGGGATGATAGGGAGCGGAGTTGGTAAAGAGAAGGGTTTTTTTGGGTTTTGAAGTTGTTTTATATAGTGTGTTTTGTTCAAGACTCCAACGGTCAATTGCCCATTTTTATTAGAGCTGGATCTGTTGTGTAGCTACCAAAATCCAAAATAGCCGTTGTTAAGTAAATGGATTTTTCAATTGGCTCTGTTCTTGCAGAAACTCCACCAAGCATTAGTATTTTTTTCTTTTTTTCAAAAGAGAAATAAACACCTTTTTTCTCGTGTTAATAAATTAATTTATTACATAACTAGATTAATCTAATGGTCGTGTATTTATAGCTTTCTTTAGTGAAATAAAATTTATACCTGTAATGTTTTATGTAATTGAAAAAGAATACTTTTTTTGCAGTCCAGGTTTGTTGAGCCTTCTATCGAAGCAATAAATAATTCTCCATTATGTAGTTTAGATACATTAACTTTCATATGGTACTAGTTAAGTTAATTTTTAATTAGGTTTTGGCTATATCATTTGCATAAGAGTTGGAACTTTTGATAAATCTTTGAAGTGAAATTGAAATTATATTATTTTTATGATATCTTTGCAACAATATAAAATTTTATTCTGAAGACTGGCTACATTTAAGATTAAAATAAACTGCAATGTCCCGACCTAGTTGAACCGTTCGATAGTTTGAATTTTTTATTGAAACGTTCAATGATTGTTCACATACTCTTCTAGGCTGTCACAGGGGTGCAGGTCAGGGTGGAATCCTTGGGCTGCGCCATGCCGCTGTCACTGATAAAGAACCCAGCCAGCATCTACGTTGGACATGAGAGAACAAAAACTGTTATTTTGTTGAAAGACTGAGCTAGAACACAATCTGGACAAACAATTCAATGGGAGATAATACTAAGGCCACGTGATAACTGAAATATCAAGATTGAAAATTGTAAAAGCTTTGAATTCATGGCAGAGCAAATATTGAACTAGCTAAAAAGAAATTCAATAGGGTGTCATCGAGTTTAACAGTGGCAGAAAAAAAAAAGCATGAACAGCCGAAGTCCAATAATTTCTTCAAATTGGGATCTATCTACAGCCATCTCATTTGACGATTCAAGTACACGAGTGTGACAATATAATTATAATGTGTATTGAAATTGGTATCTGCGGAGCCAATCTTCACCCTTCTCATAGTAATCCATTCTACTAAATGTCTGTTGTGCGAATTGAACTGCAGCAGCATAAACAGAAGCCCCACGCCAGGCGTCAAGAACAGGATCCAATGCTCTGACAACCTTTATAGGCGATCCACATGGCCTAATCATTCGGATTCCAGCTTCCAAGCGCTCACCTAGACCAGGGTAAAGGCAGCTTCCACCAGTCATAAGGATTGAATTGGTCAGTCTTTCCTCCAAGACTTGGTCCTTGGATGGCAGCCTCCTCATCGACACCCCAGCCATCTCATCTAGGCCAGCCTGATCGATTCCAATTAAGTTGGGATGAAACAGAATTTCAGGGCATCGGAACCTTTCAACCCCGAGCAGAATTTGGAAATCTTCCTTGGTCAGAGGACGAGACCGTGGTATGTCAGCAGCTGGCTGTGAGGGTCCTGATTCTGGCTTAGGAACAAATGTTGGGTCTATCTCCTGCCATTTCAGTAATAACTAATTTATGGAATGCCCCACACTAGAGTTGAATCATCAAGACCAAGATGTGAAAAGTTTGAACAATGGAGCAGCAGGTCAATATACCAGAATAAATAAATCTGACCTGAAGCCTGGAAGATACACGGGCAAGCTCTGTTTCATCCTCATCTAGCCCCTCATCATCATCATCGTTATCTTTGCTCATCAGTTTGTATAGCTGCCAATCTTCATCTTTGGCACCAAAAGTATCCTCACCCTTCCCTCGGTCAAAAGCTGCTGTCGTTAAGAGGCGCATCCTTTCTCTTTGGGCAGCATTCAATCTCTCACCACGACCAACACCACCAGACATACCATTTCCATTTGAGTGGTTCCCATTTGTCTTGAGTCGTTTTCGCTGCTCAACTTTCTCACAAAGTTCTTTGTATTTAACACGCATTTCACCTAGATAGAGCTCTGGGTTCTCTCTACGTAGAAAGCACAAAATAATCAAATGCAAAAACATGCACAGGTAACATATCAATTAGTTTCACTAAAATCTACAAAATGTGAAACAACAAAAGGTTTTATCGGATTCACAGTGTTAGTTATGCAATGAAGAGAGCAAATTGTACAAAAAAAACTATGCATCAGGTTTGAATCCAAATCCAGATTTCCCCTTTCCCTTCTCTTGTTTACTTAACAATAAAACCAAAACCTTAAATACTTTCTCCTTAAAAGCTAAAAGCTGAACTAAATAAAAGAAGCATTCAGGAGCCTAAGTACATACAAACGTTTTTGTTCATCTAGCTGATTTTTCCTTTCTCGTTCCAGGTCCTCTTCAACACGTTTCTGTTTAGCACGTTGGCGGCCATCAGATGTGGTTTTAAGGAACATCTGTCTTCTCTTTTCTCTCAGCTGTAAAGAAAGGTGATCAAAGAGTGAATTATGGAGAAAGGCTAACAATCTCTAAACCATCAAGACGAATGTGATCACTTATATCGAGCTGATTGAAAGCATGAGGTTACTTTACCAAGACTATGAAACATAACTACGATACAAGTTCTTTTTTACCTCTACTCAACAAACAGAAGGAATAGCAATTTAACAACAGAAAAGTAAATAACCAATCAATTGGTATAGAGGCATACCTGATCTGGTGTAAGCATGTTATCAGGAATACTAACAAGAGGATACTTTTCATCAGTCTTTTCTTCAGCTTCGGCCTGTTCACCCTTTGGCTCACCTTTTACTTTTCGTAATGACTGTGTTACTTTCGCAAGAGCAGATTCTATTTCCTGCCTGGAAACATAGCCAGTCTCTCTCAGGAAATATTGAACTTCACTCTCTTCCACTTGTTCGAGCTGATGCAAAAGGAATTCCAAGCCACGCAACTGGTTCTCTAGCTCATTTATCCTTGATGACCTTTTTGCCTCAGCCATTTCTCGCAACCGTTGACCTTGTCTTTCCTTTATAGCTGCCTTCCTAGCAATCTCTTCTTCTGAAGGAGGCTCCTCAACTGGTGGTGGAACCCAAGGGAGCTGCCAACACCTTGTTTTCTCTTCAGCTTCCTTGGTCCCTTTCTGTCACATGACTATAAATGTTAACTGCTATACATCTCAAAAAGAAGATGGGCAGAAACAACAGGAGATTTATTGCGACCTTGCCTGAAATAATCGAGCTTCTGAAGCATAATCTGGCGCAATATAGCAATGCTCCATCTTCAGGTCTTCAACCTTCTCCCATGTAAACCGAGCCCTATTGCATAAATGAGGAAAACATAGCATACGAGGATTATAAACTGCACTGATTAAATTGAAGCCGAGTCCAGCTGGACATTTACTCACATGTGATGAGGGTATTTAAGCGAAAGAAGCTGCTTCAAGTAATCAGTGACATGGTATCCACCAATATTAGTTCGGGAGCACCCTTTATAAACAGGCTCTCCATCAATAAACTGGGAACAGAAACACATGTCAAATTATGCCATTAGTTTAAAACAATACAAAATAGCAGGTCAGATTCAATCATGGGGATCCGAAAATTGAAAATACTTGACATTCAAATAGGTATTAATACAAATGAATGGAAAGATGTCCAACAAAACAGCTTCAGTGATACTGTTTTGGGAATAGAAATACTGAAACAGCTGCAATTAGAAGCAACTATATACCTTTCAACAGATACATGTGTGCCACACATTGAACCAATGACACAAACACTGTAATTCTGTGTTTGTGTTGGAAGGGGGGGATTTCGACTTTCTTTCAATTTTGACATAAATTACCAACCTTCATATAATTGACACTTATAAAAGAATCCCAAGCAAAATTAGTGACTAAACAATTTATAACTGCAATGCACCAGTGACCTTGCAAAGCGATTTGACCACCAATTCTGGAAATATATTCCAACAAAGCAGAAGCCATGACTAGGAAAGCAATACCGGAATAACGTGAGTTGTTGTAAATCCTGGACAAAAAGCAAGCCCATCTTTGTCACAAATTCCATGCTGTTGATTATACTTATAGCTGAATGCAGCATCGACACCAAACGCTGTGATGAAAGAATGAAATAATTCCGGTTAATTAGAATAGCCATGCACATGAAATGGGAATTAAAAACCTTCCCCTAAAGAAGCTGGAAAGTTTTCTCACTATGGACAGCCAAGAGTCTATACCTACAGATGGAACTCCATAAGTTTCAAAAAGCAGCTCTGCCATTTTACTACGGGATTGAACAGGGTTGAGTATGCATTCTGTGATGAGGACAGGATGATCAATCTGTTCTGCGCTCAAATGAATAAAATAGTAAGAAACAGTCTTGTGAATGCATTAACTAATCTGACAGCAATACATATATAAATTGCTCAGATTGTAATGGCATGATACATAAAGAACCCTACAGCACCATTTGTCATGCATGTGTTGTGGTAACATCAATTACATCTGAATAAGTCATCCTGAGAAGCTTATAAACATGTCAGATATTATCTCAAATTCTCACAATTGAATGAGGATGGTGTGAGTTTATATTACATGTGTCAGATATTATATCAAACTCTCACAATTGAATGAGGATGATGTACTGCACTCATCTCCATCAAAACGAACTTAAAAGAGTGACCAATAGGTGTTTAAACTAGCGCCACACTCTCCTCTGCATAGTACGAGGGACAGGGACTCTAGTCAAGTCCCGCCCTAGCTATATCAAAACCAAAAAGGAACTTAAGAAAAAAAGTGATTGACAGGTATCTAATAAACTATCCATATCAATGGCCAACACATTCCCTTGCCCAAACCAACATTATGCATGCAAGCCACACATTTCACTGTGAATAATGAGATTAAAAAAAGAAAAAACAAAGTGCTGACAACCAATAAGAATCAAAGAGATCACAAACGACCACAGGTGACTAGCTGCCGCCAAACTAAATTTAAAGACAGCTAGAGCAGAATAGAATACTTCTCAAAACAGAACAAGTAATGCACAAACTACATGCAATTTATAGTGGAAGCCTAAAAAATCAATCTCTCTAATCAAACAACTTCCTCACCATACCTCTGATCCATTTGCTCCCAGCCGATCAAAACCAAAGTCAAGAATCTACAGGACGAAACAATTGATTATCAGTAAAGCCATATCCTGACATATTTACACGAATAAATCAGCAAACCATGTGTCCTCATCCTATAAGATTTTAATAAACTCATGCTTGCCACAAAAGTTAAAAAACCAACCGTAAAATATATATATATATAACCTCAAACAACCAGCAAAAAATCATGTTCTAAACTAGAAATTATCTAACAATATGTTTAGTGTAAAGAAACTCCACAACCTAATACACTATTACAGTGTTCCTTACGTATTCCATAATCTCGAATTGATAAACAACATTGCTATCGAAAGCGGAGCGAGGCCCTGACCGACTACAATCAAAGTATTTCAACAATGTAGTATCATGATCCCCCACAATACTAACCGTTTCACCTACACCACCAACAACAACAATAAGAAAAAATTATATATATATACAAGGTTCAGAAGGAAAACCCCTAAAAGAGAACATGAAGTAAAATAAAAATGGAAGTTTATTCGTAATTTACCAGTGGTTTTGTGGCGTGGTCTTTGAACAATGTTACGGAAAATAACTCGAGGATCGTTCTCCCCCGCCCAACTGGTTCAATCATCAAACCACAAAATTAGAACAAAAAATAAAACTAACAATAATTTATTACACACGATAAGAGCTAGGGTTTCTTTTACCCGATACGAAAATTGGAGGCGCCATTGTCGATTACTATAGGAGTAGTTGAAGAGAAGAGATTGTAATCTGTTTGTCTTTTAATTTGTGAAATGAAAGGCATTTTTTATTCTCGCGCTCTGAATGAAAAGGAGTGGATTTTGAAGCTTCTACCGTGCTTTCAGTTTCTGTTAGTCCATGATAAGCAAAAGAAAGTAGCAGGCATGAACCGGTTTGGTTGGGAAGACAAACCGCACGGTTTTGACCCCCGAACCGGTTTTCTCCGCAAAGAAGAGGAGTGATGTGGCTTTATTTGGTAAGAAGTAAGAACCGAGGAGTCTAGATTGACTAGGGAATGAGTGGGGGTGGTAAATTTGATGAAGTACCGATGGGCCTTGGGTATTTGGAAAGGAGAAAAAAACAAATAGGACTCTTGGGTTGAAAGAACAAAAATGGGCCCCTTATCAGCCAGTTCATTTTGACGGTTTTTCAAACAATCACTGTTCAACACTTATCGGAGGTCACCATTGGCACTTTGTTAAAAATAATAATGCGCTTCCATTTATACAAAATCTACATTTACAGACATTTATGGTGTCATTTTAACCTTCTTCTTTTTTCATACATCACTGATTGTTTGCAACAATAATGTTCGTCATAATAACCATTGATATGTTATTTTTAACAATTAATAACTAATAAAAAATATTTTTTTAAACAGTGATAAAGTTAGATGTAATTTGGCTTTAATTTAGTTTTAAAACAATGAATTTAGTTTCACTTGACATAAAATTTAGTCTAAAAATATTTCGCTATCTCTAAACTAAAAAAAGTAATAAAATATATTATTGCTGAAGAATTATTTTGATAACTAAAAACTAAACTTGTTTTTTATCTGATTATACATCCGAAATGATGCATTTGTGAGAACATTTTTTTCCTTTAATGATATGTCGTTATTTTCAAATCAAGATAATAGTTAGAGTATAAGAAGGTATCGCAATGATACTTTTACCATCTAATCGGAGAATGGGAGAAAAAGAAAAGTAAGTGGAGCACACCCACTGGCCGAAGTCTCCTTGAAACCCTAGCTTGAGCCCACCCACATCCAAACTCTAATATTTCCTCAATTCCATTGTTTACCGTCGTGGAATGGGCCTGGTGGGATATGAATTAAATCCAACAAAAATCTAACTAGAGTGATTAGCATGCTAAAAGTCAGGTCCCAGCCCAGGCCTCAACACAAGGAATCAAAAATTAAAGATTCCAGCAAAAGTTGGGTTCAACTTTCGTGTCACTTTCATTTTACCCTGTCAAGTGGCCTCGCCGACTGTGCCCGTGCAGGTGCCGGTGCAGGTGCAGGTGCAGGTGCCGGTGCCGTCTTTTACGAAAACGACGCGGTTCAAATTCGATGCTCCCTTTACGCGTCTGCCTTTTACCACCATAATAAACTCACATCATGGGCCCAGGCACCCACTTCGCCTACAAAGAAAGCCCATAACTTCAGTCCCTACCACATTAAAGAAGACTAAACGTGTGGTACAGATTTAAATCCATCAGCTCCTTGAACCTTCTCGCGCCCAACAGAGTTTCATCATTCTAGAAAACCAAAATAATTCATTCTAAATAAATAAAAATCAAATCTCCACGTAGCTTCCATGTAAGCAAAAAAGATCTCAACATGAGAAACTATACAAAATATATTTTATAATAATAAAAAACTTGAATATATTTTCATGTACATAAAAACCAAATTCATATAATTTGGTAAGTCTCTTGTAAATCCAACTAGTGGAATTCCAAATTCTTGAAAACTTGTTTAGCTTCAAGAAAAAAATTTGCACCTGACACGTAAGCGAAAAAGTTGGAGACTTTTTGAATTTGGGTTCCACGCAAGCTTCTAGCAACCTTTAGTTGCTTCCACCGCACGATTGGATGAGTCAAACAGCACACCTTCCATAGCAAGCTGGCGCGACCTCTTATAAATGGACAGGCAGGCATACATACCAAAAACAGCAGTAGGCAAACCAGTCTAGATTCAGACCACAAACAGCCAATAAAACAAAGTTTCACTTCGATTAGGATTACAAACTTGTTTGAACTAATCATGGAAGTCGATGAAGGATGCAGGACACCAAGACGCAGCGAATATCAGATACCGGCGGCTCTGGTGTGCCCGCCACCACCAAAGAAGAAACCCTTTTATGTGAGCCAAAGAAGGAACCCTCCAAAGGAAGGATATTTTCAACCTCCTGATCTTGAAGCAGTCTTACTGAATATTGCACCAAGAAGGGAAGCTTGTGCTTGACTAGCTAGCTGTGTGCAAGAACTGTAAAGAAAGGTGGCTGTATTATTAATTACTTAACTTGTTTTGTGTCTGAGATCTGAGAATTAAATTTAGCATTAGTTTAAGATAACCCACTGATACTTAGAAGAAAAACTACTCGTTTGTTAGCAGGATTGTAGCTAGGCTAGAAATTAGAAACCTATTATTTGCTTGTACTCTGATTCTTAGGTTCTTAAATTTTTATATCATGTCTGTCACTCTTGCTACATGATGGTTCTTCTTCACTCGCGCTGTGTTATATTTTTGTTGGATGTGTTACTGTATTATTATTATTTATTTTATTTTTTTTGTGGGATTGAAATCAATGGATGTTTTGATTAATTACTACTCCATGTGTGAGCTGGTGTTATAAGGTTCCCAAAAACGTGGGAATTCCATTTGTATTGGATTTTGATGAGCTTTATAGCTCAGCTGTGTGAGATGGCTGTGTTTACTTCTCTGGTGGGACGTAATTAGGGACTACCTCGTTTAAGGATAAGCGTAGAGAAAATTTAACTATAGCAGCATTGTTTCTGCACTGGCCAATTTTTTTAAATGAATGATATTAGGTTAAAGTTTTCGAACGCAGAGTGAATAAATATCAGATAATTGCGGTGTTGGCAGAGGAAGGAAAATTTCTGTTCATTTGACAGAGACAGGGAGGGAAATAGAATTTAATAGAGGGCTAAGTGATTTTTGGAGGGATTCGTGCCCCTCCTAGACAGCAACATAATTCCTCGTGTCATTTAACAAGGGCGGGGTTCAAACTTCAAAAGTTCAAACCAGCAGAACCAGTTAATCCACACTTCTGGGCACCAGCATGCATACCGCGCCTGCAATTTGCGGAGCCAGCAGCTACGTAGGACATTGGGCTTGGATTGGGTTGCACCAAGTCAAAAATTCAATTCTCCCAATTTTGATAATGAGTAATAAATCCAGCATCTTTGTGCCTATTTCTGCCGTGAACAAATTCATGTCCAAGTCCAACTTGCTCTTCTGGGGAGGGGTTGGCGCTGGGCAAAGTTTTAAACATTGATAGACAAGGCAACAATTAATTAAGGTGAAACTTGAATGCGGAGTTCTCGGCCTACATAAAAGATGGCCTTTGTATAGATTTGAGGCCGAGCTAAACTGCTATCCCCATGCCCCAACTCATTCCTTATCTCAGGCTGGTTTTATTGGGCCTTCAATACAGTAATACTCTTTTGCTCGGATCAATAGACTGATAACATTCGACATCGGCAAAATAAGGCCTTATGCTATAACAGTTTATCAGAATAAAGCTTGCTGAAAGATTGACTGTTGACTTATCTACACAGTTGCAGTTAGTAACCACATCGCAATTGTCGCGGATTTAGATCCTTTTATCTTGCCTTAAAAACATAAATGTCATGTTACTTAGATTAAAATTGATTGGAAATGATTTAAGATAATAACTTATTATTATTTTATTTCCCTCGTCCAATTTAAATAATTGAATTTAAAATTAATAATTTGATTTAGAATATGACCGATAATATATTTTTTTGAAAAAAAACATGAAATATCCAAATCCAATAGTCAGAACCAACTAGCTTCACCACCGCCATGCCTAATATTACTACTACCATTATCATGAACATAACCTTCACTGCCGATATTCTACAGAAATCAATGAAAGCGACAAAACCAACCAGTTCTCATTTCGCAATAACTGTATCAAAGTAGATAGAAACATTAAACAAGAATCCGGTGAGAACCTAGATAGTTTTTACACCAAGCTCATCATTTCCACAGGACTTATTTGTTTGAGGTTTAACAGCTAGATGCCTAGATAGGAATATGCCAAAACCTTCTTTGAGCTATATCGATGCATTTTTTGAACATATATATCGACACTGCTGACAACTGAAACAGTTGTAATGATTTCTACAACTGGTTTCGATTAGTTAAAGGTTACCCATGAACATGCTGCGATGTTTCCAAGAATATCTATCGTTGATGCAAATCCTTTTTCTGTTCATAGCTGGTACTTTTATAATCTTTAGAAGGAATAATTAGAAAAGTTTGAAATGTTTGAAGGCTGTGCCATTTCTTTATAGCTGGGTTAAATTATTGTACCTTGCATGAGGCAAACCTCATTTATTAAGGGGTACTTGTTGTACTAGTGTCTGGTGTAGTGTGCAGTGGATCCGTTGGTTTGGAAATCTTATGGCTTGTACGAAGGTATGGATGTCATGCATCTTCAGGTGCTTCCATGGATCTAGCTAATTTCTTATCGCTTATACCATTTATGCATCAATTGATAAGTTGGTATTTCAAAAAAAAACAAAAAGACTGAGGTGTTGACTGTTGGTTTACTATAGCTTTTTTTTTGTTATTTCTTCGAATTTTCATGAGCAATAATATCAAAATTATATAAATTTTTTATACTTTGACTCTTAATATTTTCAAAGGTTTCGTTTCGATTCATATCTTTATTTTCTTATAAATTTTGAAAGAAGAGAGAAACGGGAAGAGAAAGAGAGCATCGATCAACCTTATTTAGGCCACTTTAGCTCGTGAAACTCCATTAGATTTTTTTTTATCTCCGAGAGATGAGTTTGTTTATTGTAGTTTTAAGCCATTAAATAATTGGAGGATGTATGTCGGAGCAAAAAAAAATAAAAACTTCGATTTGATTATGTATTTTTTTATTTTAATGTGCATTAAAATGATTTTTAAAGCCTTAAAAGTATTTATTGACTTTATTTTGGTCATTTAAAAATGTTTGAGAGAAAAAATAATATCAAAATTGACTTTTCTTAGAGTTTAAAAATTGACTCTCGATTTTTCGACGAAGCTTCTAACGAGCCGGAGCTCGTTGAAATTTGCGTGTTTTTTTTCCCCCTTTTGGGCCGGCCGAGCCTCAAGCCCGGAGTGGAGAAGCGAGGTTGGTGCATAGACCTAGCTCGCGGGGCCACTTGAACCGGCTTGGCTCGACTACACATGCTAGACTATTTCCTTTTTTTCATCCAATAATTTATTTTTGTATTTTTTTTTATCATGAAATGTAGCGTCCTTAACCTAATTCCTTACAAAAACTTCGTATAACTTAACCATTTTAGTTCCGTAAAACTCAATTAATCACAAAATATCACTTAGGATCATTAAAACCTCATATTAGAAAGATTAGATTTTTTTTTTTTATTCAACTAATCAACAACATTCTTTCCACTTATAACCCTTGGATATTCAATCAAAACCATTTTTTCTTTGCTCATAAACACGTCTCAAAACACCTCCAGGAGTTCATATTTACATAGTTACATATACAATTCAAAACTCTCCTAGGATGCATATGCTCGGCATAATGAGAGAGAGGAGAGGGAGATCGCCAGCCGACTCGTTACTCATGTCGTGAAATGAGCGACAAAACAAGCTCTAAGCTTCTTAACTTCTTGTACCTAAAAAGTAATTGCATTTTTAATGAGATGCTACTCAATGAGAGAACAATAATTCATTAAAACCATAACATGCAATCACATCATCCGAGTATCATCACATATAAACAATACATGGAGTTCATATGACTCTAAGATTTCATGCTTTCCTTTTTCTTGTCGGTTATGACTTGGACATGTCAAGTTCCGCCCGGGTACTTGTAACTTGTAAACTTGTACACATGTATTGTCGGCCGGCTTTTATAACTTGTAATTGACCCATTGGGTCCTTGTAAACTTGTATTTACGAAACTTGGACAAGCCAGTCATAACCTTAACCTCTTAGCCTTGCATATATCATGAATGTTTCACATATAGCATATACAACATCCATGGCTTATATCATGGTACATATCCATTATAACATCAATAAACATAACGTTTACGTCAACTAGCAAACGGCACATCATTCACATCATGATATCAATATCAATACACATAACATTAATAAATACAACGTTTGCGTCAACTAGCAAACGACACATCATTCACTTCATAGAAATATAATATTAGTACTCAATAGCAATAACACATCACTGGCACAATGATTATTATTCAACTCACTAAAATGACGTCTTCGCCGTTTATCAATGCGTTGCGTCTCGCACCTCACGCTCCTCGGCGTCTATAAACACATACACATATACTTTTATAAGTCATTTTATCATGATCAAACTTCTAAATATGCTTAAGGTACAAAATATGACTTCAGGGTTAACTTATTCCTTTATGGGTACTTGACCCCTTTTCACTCTTTCTACCATAAGTCTCAAAATACATATTCCAATGATACAATTCTAGTTTCACATGAAACTAAACTCATAGGGCTCTAACATATCCAAAAATCAAGTCTAGGTACGAAATACACAACTCATGATGATTTTCTAAAAATCGAGTTGCTGCCATTTGTTTATGGGTACTTGACCTCTTGACAGTTCACACTCTTTGTACTATAAATCCTAAAATACAAGGTAAAATGACAAAATTCTAGTTTTAAATGAAACTAGACTCAAAGGGATCTAACATATCCAAAAATTAGCCCAATATTCCATATACATGATTTATTCTAGATTTTTAAACTCTAACTAGCTTCCGAGCACCCTTGTTACCGAGCAATCCCCAAACAAACAACAATAAATATATATTGGGACATGATCAAGACCTAATTATTTTTTAAAAAAGAACTAGACATATCAATATAAAACATATCCAAAAATCAGATCGAAATACTCAACACCCAAAGAATACCATATTTTTAAAGTTTGCACACTAATCTGCCAGCATCGGATCACCCAGAACAACATGTGTTCAAACCATTATAACCCGAAATATAAATCACTAAATACAAAACCCTTTCACAGAGAGCTAGATAAGACACAAATCAATAATTTTTATTCTTACAACTTGTTCTAGATCTGACCCTAAAGTCTCGAAATCAAGAGTGCAAAACAGAGCTGGGGATGAACTTACCTAGATTTCTAGCTTGATCATCCGAATTTGACAAAGAAATGGGGTTTTTCTCTCTTTCTCTCTCTCAAAACGGGAAACCAGATGGGATAAGAAGAGATAATGATCAGGTAAGTAATCTTGATAAGATTGTGAATATATTTTGGCAAATTTCATTTTGGTCCCTCAAGTTTTAGCTTATTTTTATTCTAGTCCCCCAACTTAGATTACATTCAATTGAGTCCCTAATTCTTCCTGTTATTCCAAATACTTACAATTGAGCCCCTATTTCTTTCTATTATTTCAAATACTTATTATCCAATACCCCACTAACATGTCATATGCATGTATAATTATATGCGTGTAATTTCTAAGTATGCATGTATACATGAACGAGTGTATGTTTTTGGAACGGGGTTATTACAATTCTCCCCTCTTTAAAAGAATTTCGTCCTCGAAATTCCTTTACCTGTATCGGGAAACAAGTGAGGATAATGATTGCGCATATATTCTTCGAGTCTCCCAAGTTGCCTCTTCCTTAGCATGGTTTCTGAATAAAACCTTCACCATAGGCATTTCTCTTTTCCTTAATTGTCTTAACTTTCGGTCAAGAATTTGTACTTGGTTCCTCCATATAACTCAAGTTGTCGGATACCTCTATTTCATCGGCTTGAACCACATGTGAAGGATCGGATCGGTATCTTCTTAACATACTTACATGGAAGACGTCATGTAGGCTGCGCTAACTCTTGGGGCAAAGCCAACCTATATGCAAGTGGACCAATCCGTTCCACTATTTCATATGGTCCAATATAACGAGGACTCAATTTACCTTTCTTACCAAACCATAACACCCCTTTCCAAGGTGAAACTCTAAGGAAAACCTTATCCCCTACATTGTATTCCATATCTCGTCTATGTTGGTCCATATAACTATTTTGTCGATCTTGTGCAATCTTTA